GAAATTACCCCTCCCTGGGCTGCTGCCTCCCAGCCCTGCATCCCAATCAGCAGATCAGGGCACAGGGCTGGGAAACAGCTGCTAGGGTGGGGACAGTTTCCCAGCCCTGTGCTCCGATTGGCCAACTGGGGCACAGTTGCTCCGATTGGCCAACTGGAGCACTGACCCTGGTGCTCCCTGCCAGCCCTGGGTTGGCACCTGGGGGAGCCTGGAGCTCCTCCTGGCCACTGTAGGCAGGTAAAGCAGGGCAGTAGCCATGCAGTGAACTGCTCCCGTCAGGAGCAATTTGTTCCTGATGGGCTCACATGTAGATGTGCTCCCAGGGAAAGCTTACTGCGCAATATTTTACTGTGCAGTAAGCTTACAGTCCATTAATAGCACTGGGAGTAGATGCTCCCAGTGTGACTAGGCTGTCTGCTCTCCAGCATTATAAGTTCCTGCAATAAGGCAGTATGTCTTTTGCTCTGCTAGGTGGGACTGCCGGAAATCCTGATCTTTCTGAATAAATCTATACTGCTGAAGGGTTGGGAAAGGCCTTAGGGAGCAACCATAAGAGTAGCAGTGCATCCAACAGGGAGATCTCTGTATGTGATCCTTGGCTGTGTTCTTTAGAGAGCTTTGCATATCAAGTGCATTTCTTCTGAGTTGTGATTTTCTTCCTTAATTTTCATTGACAGTTTCAGTTTCTGGGCCTTGCTCTTATCCAACGCTAGACATGGGCTTGAACTAAAATGTTGGATCCACACACACACAAGCTTTAGGGGAGCTACAGAGCAAATGTTATGGAGTCAAATGTATGTGAGTTGTGGGGTGGAAATGAATAATGTATTTCCTTTTGTTAATTTTCTTCTCTATAGTAAGTGCTAGACCATCTCACTTGACTTGGGTGATATTTGCCTGGGCAGTAGTAAAAATAGGAAGAATAACAAACTTCTTGCCAAGAGAGTCCTGGGGCATAAACTGTTTGGTATAACACCTCCATTTCCACTGCCAGAGATGGTTTCCCTTAGTCTAGATGCCCGACTATACATCCTTAGCAGCTTTATCCTGATGCAAGTCCTCATCTTGTAGTTCTCTGTTTCTTCCACTTGGCTCCCTTTCATGCTCCAATTTTGGAGTGCATTACAGACATTATATCAAGAGCAGTGAAGTTAGGACACCAACACTGCATGCCATGTTAATTAAGAGATCATTTGAGCTTTATTTTAGAGAAACATGATTTGTACAAATTATTTGGCAACCTGCATCTAAAATCTACAGCAGTGGGAGTATTCCCATTGATTTCAAAGGTTTTTGGATCAAGCCAATATTATATAGCAACCTTTCGGTAACAACCAGGTCTCTTTCCATGCCTCTTGGAAGAGTTTAGAACAGGACTAGCCAAGCATCTGGTAGCATCTGTAATAAAACTCATGTGCTTGCTTTGGTAATGAGTTTCACATCACACCATAAATATTTTCCCATGAGTTTGCAAAAGGCTTCCCAAATAATTCTACCCCGCCCAGAGAGGACCTGCACTAACTTGCTGTAAAGGGCTCATTGTCTAATAGAAAGGAGCTTTCCCAACCAGGCAATAACTTGGAATTTGCCATTCCCAGGGCTGGTAGGGAAGAGAAACATGTTACCAGCTAAGCCATGGTGGCAGCCCATCTCTGCAAACCACCAGAAGAAATATGATACAGGTAATTTCTCTTCTAAACTGAGCACGACTGTGTGCAAACACTCACAAACTTTCCCTCCCCTCATTTCCTGGCAGACACCTGATGTAAACACTGGTAACTCATAGAAAAGTATGTCTAAGTCTTTAATGGAAAGATAATAGTTAGTTGAATTGTTTGCAGTAAATGCCCAGGAGGCCCAACGTTCCTGCCAAAATGCTGACAACTCTACAAAACAGTTTCATCCTATGTTGACTCATAAAGGGAAGCTTCCGTGAGGGTGGGCTAATGTCTAACAACCTGCTGCTTCTTTCCTCCACCCAGTCCTCCCAGTTTTAGGAGCCTTGGGAACGTGCACAGAGCACAGGTTACCAGAGCCAGCCAGAAGAAAATGACCCCAGCAACGCCTGAGGTCTTAGAGCCATGCCCCATTCCAGCTGCACCTCCACGGTTCCTGAGATGCTAGGATGTTCTCAATAACCAGGGGCCATGGATATTAACAGGGTCAAGAAGTTCCTCTCCTTCAAAATGTTGCAGTAATTAAACATGTAATACTAGAATGGCTTTGACTAAAGGCCTGCTCTGTTGGGGTTTTAACTACTGCTTTGTAGGTGTTGTAGAGCAAAGTCTGGGTGGAGGGTTTCTCTTTTGTCTACCATTACTAGGCAGTGGATGCTGCAACAGAGATGCCTCTGCAAAAGGCCCTCTGTCATGATACTAGCCAGGTGCTCCTTGCTAATGTTGTTATTGGGACTAATCTTTTATATTCACTTACCTCCCCTTCATTTACAGTGCTTTCCTTGTTGCATATACGTTCCTGCTCAGAGGTCCTCTGGGGCTTTCTCCTGTGCATAAGACAAGTTTGCCCCTGGCTGCTGGAAGGTGGCAGGTTTGCAATTTGTTCTTTGGAAGGAAATGCATTGGACATTTGCATTTCTCCAGCTATTCCCCTACTTGAATTCAATTCTTTTTTTTTTTTTTCGGGGTGGGGGGGCTATCTTTTATTGAACCAACAGAATTTGGGGGAGAAGTTAAACAAGCTTTAGAGCACAGTGCCCTTCTTCACAGAAACGGAATTAGCTGAAGAGATAAAGACTGTGCTATTTTGTTTGCCTTCATCTCTTTCTGACTGCCTCTTTGCTCCTTGAATGTCAAATCCATGCATGTAGAGCACCATGTCTACCATCCATCATGATCATCAGGGCAAAGTGTCTTGCAGTTCTCCCAGTCCAAGCACTTAGACAACATGGACTAGAATAGAACTGGGCAGGCAGCAAACAAAGGATCTATTTTGGGGGGCTGTCTGGAGGTCCTCCTAACACAACAGCTGTCTTAGTAGTGTTTCAATGCAATGGCACCTTCTGTGAATCAGGAGAGCTCCATAACTAGGAACATATAAAAGGCCACTTTTATAATAACCTGAGAAGAGGATTCTGGAGAAGGAACAGATCATGCTCTCCTGTGTTGCGCATTAGGGGTAGAGGCCTGGCGTAGCCACCTATTTACTGAAGGAGTAAACACCTTAATGTCAGCTTTTCTAGCTAGCAAAGCTTCAATAACTCTGCCAAGAGGGCAGTCCTCCAGTCATACCCCAAGGCAGATACCAGATCTGGCATCCAAAATTTCATTATTGCAACAGAATATTGGGCCAGATTCTGATCTCAGTTACACTTGTGTAAAGCTGGAGTAATTCTGCTGAAGATGGTATGAATGTATACCAATTTACCTGAGACCAGGACCTGGCTTATTCCTTTTGACCAATTGCAATGGCTTTTTTCCTGGGATAACCTTAGGATTTCTTAAGGAATTTTGCCTCATTGTTCTCAGATCTTCCATACAAGCTAATAAATCACTAATTAATTCATGAAGACACTTTCTGCTGCCTACATAGAGCATCAGGACATCACAGAATCATAGAAAATGAGGGTTGGGAGGGACCTCAGGAGGTCACATCTAGTCCAACCCCCTGCTCAAAGCAGGACCAGCCCCAACTAAATCCCCCCAGCCAAGGCTTTGTCAAGCTGGGTCTTAAAAACCTCCAAGGATGGAGCTTCCACAACCTCTCTGGGTAACCTGTTCCAGTGCTTTACTACCCTCCTAGTGAGAAAGTTTTCCTAATATCCAACCTAAACCTCCCTTACTGCAACTTGAGACCATTGCTCCTTGTTCTGTCATCTGCCACCACTGAGAACAGTCCAGCTCCATCGTCTTTTGAACCCCCCTGCAAATAGTTAAAGGCTGTTATCAAACCCCCTCTCCGTCTTCTCTTCTCCAAACTAAATAAGCCCAGTTCCCTCAGCTTCTCCTCATAAGTCATGCCCCCTATCCCCCGCACCATTTTCATTGCCCTCCGCTGGACTCTCTCCAACTTGTCCACATCTTTTCTGCAGTGGGGGGCCCAAAACTGGACACACTACTCCAGCTGTGGCTTCACCAGTACAAAATAGAGGGGAATAATCACTTCCTGTGATCTGCTGGCAACACTCCTACTAATGCAGCCCAGTATGTCATTAGCTTTCTTGACAATAAGGGCACACTGCTGACTCAAATCCATCTTACAGTGCACAGTAACCCCCAGGTCCTTTTCATGTTGACTACATTTTTCTCTCTTTGGGGAATCTTTAAATATGGGCTAGTGTGTTTGTCACTATAAAAGATGGATAAAAAGAATGAAAAATGAGGATAAAATAAGTAATGAGAAGGGTAGAATGAAGTTAAAGTCAGCTTCTGTGATGGAAGGGGGGTGACACGTAAAACTTAAGCTCTTGACTGCTCGAGTTCAATAAGGAAAGATCCCTGCTGTGAGAAATGATCAATTTGTGAGCTGGGTGACTATGTTCCACACCTACAATTCTGCTGCAGCTTCAAATGGATGTCATAGGCCTTCCTATTTTAACACTTGCTATACTCTGATCAAAGGCTGCCATGTTCCAGTCCAGTGGTGGCTGCAATTTGGTAGCAGGCAAAAGCAAAGCTCAGAAGCGTATAGAGTCGGTTATGAATTTTGTTCTACCATAATTCTCTGTGTGATTTGAGTGAGTACCTTAGTTGCTCTAATCTCCATCTGTAAAATGAGGATAATCGCATAATCCTGATTCCCAGGAGGTGTGTGAGTCTGTATATAGTGAAAATGATAAAGTGCACTGTCACTGTGGGAATAGGGACCATAAAATATCTACACTAGGTAGGTACGGAATGACCAAAACACTCAATTAATGGACTGAGTGCCCGCCAATCCCTTTAAAGCCAGTGCTCATCACCCATCAAGATTTGGTCTTTGGGCAGATTCTGGGAGCCAGTTTAAGCCTCTTTTAACTGTCTTGTTTCCTGTTTTTTACCCAGCAGTTGTACAATGGGACCCTTAAAAGGGACACAGAGAATAAACGCTACAGCTCTTACAGCCAAATGGAAGGCTGGGGCAGCAAGAACTACAACAAAATCTGCAACACCCCCAGGGCCGGCAGTGACTACTGCTTTGCTCAGACCATGAAGACCAGCCGGAGCGAGCCTGACCTCTGCTGTGAGCCACCCCGGGGCACTCTTAAGAGAAATCAGGGAAACCAGGCAGGGCACAAAGCAACCCTGAATCGCCAAAGCATCTACAGCAGCTATAGCACCCAGCAAGGGACTACTAGGACAAATAAAAAAATGGCAGCGCGTGCTCTCTCCTGTCCTTCAAGCAATAAGCAGGAGGTGGTATATGCTGAGCCTAGGATGAGCGGCAAGCAGGAGATGGCATACACACGGTCTCAGTCCAGCTCCAAGTAAGTGTTCGGTTGTCTGTTAGCAAAATGTGCTGAAGGGAGGCAGGGCAGACTAGCTGAAATTGTCTCATTAGCAGGCCTCCCCTGCTCACTGTGATGGCTTCTTGACATTTGTCCTTGAAACCCTGACTTTGTATATGCATGGCCTTGAGTACTTGTACACCTTAGTCCTGGCTCATCTTCTGGCTGGGGACACTGCTTTGGGCAGAGTGTTGTCCATCTGCTCATTTCATAAACCCTGTCATTACTTTCAGATGGAAGACAGATTCATTTGCATATCTAGAACAATTCATTCCAGGAAATTTCTAACCAAACAATTAAAGGCTGTAGGGTGAAGGGGCAGGAAATACACTCGGCAACAATGAAGGTGTTTTCTTCATAGAGTAGATGTTGTCCTTAAGTAATTGCTCCCAGCTACCTAGCTGTTTCCCTAATGACAGAGCTGGTCCACCCAGGGAGGATTCACATATGAATCATTTACTCATAGCTCTGGAATTGGTCTTTGAAGAATAGCTCTGGTTTTCTGGAGTCACCACAAGAAGAATGTCTCTTGTGTAAGAAATGTTCTGAACTTCCTCTGCTTAGGGAGTGGCCCCCTTGGTGAAACCCTCCTGCTCGGAGTGTGGCTCACCCTGCATAACTGGTTCTGATTTGGAAGTTTTCTATTGTGGAGCGCTAGGCCTGGTGGGTGAGGTGTTCTCCTAACAGAACTGGTTTTGGCTGGGAGTTGTCTCTTTCATAGATTGGAAGGTAGCTGCAGGGCTGTTCTCTATGGAAGGGACTGCTTTAATGTGTGGGTTCATCTGTCTTGTAGAAAAGTTTCTGTTCCCCTCTAGAGCATATTGATTTTGCAGAAAACTCTTCCCAGTAGATCTGAAACCTATTAATGAATTATCTTCTCTAAAAAAAAAAAAAAAAAATCACTCCTGTTTGTATGCCAGTCTCCCTCTGAGAACTAGTTCTGACAGGATAGTTATTAATAATCTAGGTCAGGGAGGGGCCCTGTCACTATGTGCTTCCCAGGAAGATGCTCTCTATAAAGCTACTTCTAGTCTGGATGCAGTTCGCTGTGTAGACCTAGTTCTAGTTGGGGAGCTCTAGGGAGACCTGCGTTTGCAGATCTGCTTTGTCCCTATAATTGAGAGTTATTATGTCACTCTTGAGGAATTGGGATTGACTGAGTAATAGTTACTAATAAGAACTTACCATGGTTGGGGCAGTGTACTGAAGTTTTTAACAGAGATTTTCCACTTTGTAAAAGAGGGGCTGCTTGGCATGTTGGCCTCATACTAGAAAAAGTGTGTGGGGGTGATTAAGATGCCTGAGCTGAAAATCTGGACTTTTTTGTCAAATTGTGTGGTCATTATTTGCAGCTTTCCTGCATGTAGAAATGGTGGTAACAGGAGGTAGTTCTCTCTGTTGCAGAAGCTGTTCTGATAGGACCTCTTCATTCCTCACTGAATAATTATACGGTCTTTTGGGTTGAACTGGTTCGGAGTGACCATGCAGTCATCTCCTTGCAGAACTTGGCTGTGGCTCAAAAACACCTCTGATACTAATAATGGCTGGGGACTGATGGTTTTATTTTAGAGGTAGTCCTGGGTCTCTTGCTGCCCAAGCTGCAGATCTAGTCTTGTTTGAGGGGGTTTTTTTTGGTTTTTTTTTTTGGTAGGAACAACCCTGCACAATTGGGATGTTGTCTCTTTTGAAGACCTCTGAACCCAATCTATTTTGTGAAGCTAATTCTGGGATAGGTGTTATCACGTCTGTAAAACCATTCCTGGACAGAGAGTGACCCTTTGTGTGGAAAACATGGGTCTTGTTTTGGATGGCTCTTTTTAGTGGGTTTGGTTCTAGTTTTACCTGTTGGATCATCCCCTTGTAGAGCTGGTTCAGGTCTGCAGAGACAGGCCCGAGGAACTGGGCAGACTATGGAGATGCAAACTTTATCTTTTCACCCTGGATTTTCCTCAGTAGTAATTACAAAGCTAGCTTGGTGTGGCTATACAAAGGATGAAGAGAAGAGACAACCAGATCTGACCAGACCAGATATTTAAGTATATACGACAGTGGATCTTAATATGCAGAGACAGAAAATATGGTCAAAGAATTCCTTGGGATTCTGATATGGTGCTGGTTGTACTCGGGTAGAGGATGCTGGGTGCATTAGCATTGTAAAGCTAGTTGTATAAAGTAGACTCTTGGACAGAAATGGATCTGGGCAGGGAGCTGCTGTGGCTCTACAACTGCTCGTGGCTCTGTGGTCTCTGTCCTTCTAGAGCAAGATCCAGATGCAAGAATTGCTTCCCTTCAGGAGTCTCTCTTGGGCAATAACATCTGTCAAGGGAGGTGTTTTCTCAGGTCGAACTGGTTCTGAATGTGTAATTGTTCTGCATCCCTCTGTGACTGAAGACTGCTTTATACCAGTAGATTTTATTTGTGGGGTTGTGTTTGGAAACCAGAACTTAGGTGCAGGCTGTCCCCACCATATAGAACTTGCCCTGCTTAAGAAAATTGCCTCTTTTCGGAACTTATTCACATTGTGAGATTGTTCTGCTGATCAAACTGGGCTTGATTTCACAATTTTCTCCCCTCAAAGCCCTGTAGTTCCCTCTCAACTCACTTTGGAGATTGGGTCCTGGCTTGTGAGCTAAGCCCCACATAGGGATTAGGATCCTCCCTCATTACATAGGTATGGACAAAATGATCTCTTGAAATGCCTTGCAGCCCTGCATTTCTATCATTCTATGATAGCTCTCTAGCAACTCTTGGAGCATGGTAGGTCTCATCTAGGGACACACACTCCAGCCCAGTCCCTGCCCTTGGCTCAGATGACTTTGGTTATTCTAATGGCCAGAACAGGCAGTCAGTTCCCATGTAGTCATCCACAATCACATATCCCCAAAGCGGAGAGCTTTTGAGTGAATTCTTCTCTCCATCATATAGAGTGCTATCGGAAGCTAGAAACTGATATTTCTGGCTGGGTAAATGGTTTGTTGAGACTGTCCAGTCAGAAGAAATCTTGTACCAATTCAGGACCAGCAGATGTAGTCTGAACAACCAAGAGTTATTAGTGAAGGTCGTGCTGTAGAATACACATGGTTATCTTCTAGCTGCTACTCAGATAAAGATAGGGGACTACTGTCATCAACCAGGTGAATTATTCTTTGAACTCAGGCTTAGGGGCTTTTGATTTTAACACCTCACTTACCAGATTCAAACCACACTGGTAACTCAGACTGTGTCGACCATACGTCTGTACTGTCAATCTTTTTTGACAGCCTGTGAAAAGCTTCAAGTACTTTCTTTGGAGGAAGAAGAGGTAAATTTTGATGTCCGCAGATCCATGCCAGCATGCTGGCTGGTGGGATTGAACAGCATTAGGCACTGGAGTTATACAAGAGAACAGTGTCTTCCATAATGCCAGATGTGCCCTATGTTCTCCTTTCAATATGTGGCTGAAATGTTTTTACCATTCCCATTCCCACTGGGGTGAGTGAAGGGTCCTGTGACATATCTACTGAGTTTACCTGAACACATGATCTATTGAGCTCCTGTCAGTAACACTGACATGTGGTGTGTCCCCGTCCACACAGCAAGGAGCACTGTAAGCCAATAAGAGACAGGTTTGCAAAGTAAAGGCCCATGGGTATCGTACTGGATGCTCTGAAATGGGTAGTGAGGCTGTTAAGTAGAAGGGGAGGGATCCCCAGGTCTTGTTGATCTGTGTGAGCATACTTCAGAAACTTGTGAGTTTTTATTGTCCATGCTGAGCTATCATAAGGCCTCCCAGGAACCTCGGCAGGCTGGAGCAATGCTGGCACGGCTCTTGCAAACTGTCGGGAATGCTAGGTCAATGACGGCATGCACTGTAGCCATTTCTCCAGTAGTACAATTAATTCTTTAAATAAAAGTTGGAAATCAGCACTTCGCTGATCTGCTACACAAAGGCAACGATGAAGAGTCACTGGTGGAGGCCAAATAAAAATGCCTGGGAGAACTACTCGCTAACAGAGATATCCAGGTACCTGGTGGATTGAAGGGAAGTCAGTACCAGGAAAGCTATCTTGCCTCTCCATGCTGAAAGGATCACCAAGCAGTTTTAGTGTGGAGCTGGTTGGTCTCACACTGAGTAAATTGCGTTTGAAAATTATGGTTCAAAAGATAAGCTCAGTGTGATGTTCTCAAGTAGCTGTGGCCTAATGGGGTGGTGGCAGGACCTATTTCAAGTGTGTATGTGCATTGTAAAGAATAGATATATTATTGATTGTTATGACACCCACTGCCACTGGTCTGGGAGATTTGTGTTGCACAGATGGAAAGGATTAGAAAAAAAAGTTGTCTCAATTCCAATTCTTAGTGAACAGCCCTCAGGTATTTTTCTTCCATGTCTTTAGCTATCGACATGGAAACATTAGGGAATTGTCATGGTTTAGCTAATTGTAGTGCCAAAGCTTCAGGAATCATTTGGGTAGCTCATTACTGAGCTACCCAAATGCTGCAGTACTCTGAGAGGGCTTGTACACGCCACAAAATTGGCCTCTAAAGTGGCTTAAATGCCATTTTGTACTGCTTTAATGGTGCTGCTGTTTACACTGTTGGCAGCGTATTGTGCGTTAAATGACACTGGGACGTAGCAAAATAAAACATGCCCGAGGTGTTTTAGTTTTCTACCTTACAGGTGTGAAGGGAAGCACTGGGCCCCATGCAACTCAGGGGCTGTGCAGGCAGCCCATGCAGGCAGCCCAGCAGCAGCCCGTGCAGGCAGGCTCCATTGCAGAAAAAAAAAACCCAGCAAAAAAAAGCAGTGAGCCTGATCTTTTTTTTTTCTCCCTGGAGCCTGCCTGCCTGTCTGAGCTGCGTGGGGACCCAGTGCTTCTCTCCATGGCTGTGGTGCCCCTCGGGACTGTCCAGGTCAGGTGCCTGCCAGTGAGTGCCGCCTGGGGGGGTGCCGCCACCACCGTGGTGGGAAGCACCAGCCCTCCCCACTGCAGCTCAGGGACTGCTCAACCTACTGGCAGCTTGCCCTCCCCCCCACTCCTCCTCCCTCCTGCCACTGGAGAGACAGGAAAGGATCAGGCCTGACCCTTGTGTACATGCCGCAGGGGCTTACTTTGGTTTAATTTGAAGTGGTGTTTTTAAAAACCCACTGCTTCAATCTAGGGAGGATTAAACTGAAGTAAACCCCCCCTGGCATGTACAAGTAGCGCTCTGCCAACTGGTTGTGGAGTGCTATTCAGGGTTGAAGAGGTTGAACATGTACAGTGTCTATGGATATTATCTTTCCTCTAACCCCTTTAATAAATGATGGACAATAGCTTTCTTAGCTCTTCCTCACTCCTTCATCCTCTGCATCTTTAGCCTTTCAGTAAAAGGCTGTAGACATTGAGTAGATCAACACAACCAAAACAGATTTCCTACATGGAGAGACTAGTACAACAAAAGAATTTTCCCTTTTGTAGTACTGATCTGTGTTGAGTTCTAGTTGAGGATTTGGCATAATTTCCATTCATTCTTGCTGAAGAGGTGTTCCTTTTGTGGAGCTAGACCGTTTTGTGGTATTATCCTTACTGGAAGCACAGGGCCTCGGTTGAGGATGGTCTCAGCCCTAGAAGTGGTCATGGAGTGGGTTGATTTTTGCTTTCATAGTTCTGGTTCTTGTCCAGAAATATCCCTCCTTAGAGCTATGAGTGGCTAGTATGTAGTCTCCCTACTAAATGACCCCTGGTTGGGTGGCTGACTCCTCTTTCAGAATCTGTCACAGTGCTGGAGTTGTTCTTGTTGTAAAACTGAACCCAAATGAGTTGTTCACCCTTAAAGAATTGCCCTAGATGTAGGATTTTTCCCCTTTAAAGGAAATTGATTCTGTTTGGCCATCTTTTCCCATGTTGGCTGGTCCTCATGGCAGTTTCCTCCCCTTATGCACATGAATACTAGGCCTGTGCGAAGTGGCTAGGATTCACTTCAGATTCGGATTCAGCCGATTCGGGGGACAGTGATTCGATTCAGGCCAGGCTCATCCCCTGCCCCTCTCCCAGCCTGGCAATGGCTTCCCCAGCTCCCAGCACTTGTTAAAAAAAAAAAGCCCCGACTCAGTGGGTGCTGCCAGGTGGGGGTGATCCCTGATGCCCCACACTGCATGGGGGGCTGTGCAAAAGCCCCCTGGCCCCCCTCTTGCTCCCCCAGCCCCCCCCACGGGTGCTCCACCCAGGCTTTTTTAAGGGAACCCCCCCTGAAAAAACCCTGGACTCACTGTTCCTGCCAGCCCCGTGCCACATGGGGGGCTCTGCATGAGCCCCCGAAGCCTCGAGGCTGCTGCAGGAGCAGTGAGTCCCGGGGCTTTTCTCATTTTATTTTTTTTTCTTAAAGGGCCAGAGCTGGCCTGGGCAGGGCACCCATGGGGGGGCTGAGGGAGCAAGGGGCAGAGCAAGGGGGGGAGGGTTGGGAGGCTCATGCAGAGCCCCCCATGCAGCATAGGACAGTGTGGGGCAGCGGGGATGGCCCCCCTGCCCGGCAGGATCCGGTGAGCACTGGGGCATTTTTTTTTTAAAAGTACTGAAC